TCGATTCCGACTCACAGTGCCCCTAGAGGACAGAATGGAACTGCACCACAGGGTCTCCAAGGCTGTCAATCTTTACAGAAGCAAAGCCCAAACCAAACCCACTGCCCGGAGTCGATTCTGACCCACAGCGCCCCTAGAGGACAGAGTGGAACTGCCCCACAGGCTTTCCAAGGCTGTAATCTTTACCGAAGTCAACTGCCTCATCTTTCTCCCACGGGGCAGCTGGTAGGTTTGAACTGCCAACCTTTTGGTTAATAACTAAATGCTTTAACCACAGGGCCACCAGAGCTCCTAGGAATGAGATTAGATGATATTAAAAAATGACTGTGCATGTTGTTGAAGGTGGAAATGATGGTGTTAAGTAACAGAACAAGGTCTTGTCTACTAGAAAGAAAGAGTCCAATATTGATGGGAAAATAACATGACATGTGGGATCTTAACGATGCCAGAAGAAAAGAGGAAAACAACATTGCATTAAGTGTTGATTGTTACCGCAGCTGAGTGATGGGCAGATGGGAGTTGGAGTCTACAGAAGTTTGGAAATTTCCAGAAAAGAAAAAAAAAAAACTCTTCATAAAATTAAGCATTCTGTGGAAGTTTGGAAATTTCCATGGGGGAAAAAAAAAGCTATTAAAGGATGGCTGCAGGTCATCTAAGTTTGAGAAGTGGGCTCAGTGGACACTGGGAGCTCTGAGTTATCCAAAAAGACAGCCACTATCACATCCAGATGACTTTTGTCAGGGAATGAGAGCCAAAGGTTGCCAAATTTTGGGATTTTATTTTCAAAGATGCTGGAATCCCGGATGTTTACTTGGAATTAGTTATTCACTTACGTCTTCAAAAAAAACAAGTGCAGGCCAAGGAAAACATGTTTGTTGAGTCTGGCAAGGCTGAGGCCTTTGGCTGGGTGGGAACTTAAGTGGGTCTGCAGTGGGTGGGTGGCTCTGGCATCCAGGGCTCCAGGATGCAATGGTTCTGGAACCTGAGGGCCAGGGTTCAAATTTCAGCTCTACTTTTGTGTTGAGAGGAGACAAGGTACCTAATCTCTCCCAGCTTCTGTTTGTTGTTGTGAGCCGATGCTGCGTTGATCCGTGTGGAGCAGAGCTACTCCTGCAGGCTTTCAAAACCATGACCTTTCAGGAAAAGGTTGCCTGGCCTTTCTTCCAAGGCACCTCCAGGTCGGCCTAAACTGCCAAGCATCCCCTTAGGAGTCTTGGATTTAACCATGTGCACCTCCTAGACACTCTAACTCTCAATCTGCTACCATTGAAATAATGACAATGGTATTATGTATCTCCTGCAGTGGTTCAGATTACATGAGATCATGCTTAGCACAGAGCCTCACACACACACACACACACACAAACTCACTACCATCAAGTTGATTCCAACTCATAGCAAACCCCACTGGGTTTCCAAGGCTGTACTTCTTTACAGAAGCAGACTGTCCCATCTTTCTTCCTCAGAGCGGCTGGTGGGTTTGAACCGCTGACATTCCGGTTAGCAGCCAAATACCTTAACCACTACCCAATCAGAGCTCCTTTGACACACAGAAAGCACCCAATAAATACAAGCTATTATCACATTAGGCGCACTGGTGGGGCAGTGCCTCAGGCACTGGACTGCTAACCAGAAGGCTGGCAGTTCAAACCCACCAACCACTCCTCAGAAGGAAGGCTGGGCAATCTACTTCCGTAATGATACTGCCTCGGAAACCCAAGGAGGGGTCGCTAGGAGTCAAGTCAAGTCAATGGCTGTGACTTTGGTTTGGGCTTTGCTTCCAGTGGGTGTGGTTTGGGCTTTGCTCCCATAAAGACTGACAGCCTTGGAGACCCTGTGGGGCAGTTCCACTCTGTCCTCTAGGGGCGCTGTGGGTCAGAATCCCCTCCAGGCACTGGGTTTGGTTTGGGCTTTGCTTCTGTGAAGGTAGGAGCTCTGGTGGTGCAGTGCCTAAGGCACTTGACTGCTAACCAGAAGGCTGGCGGTTCAAACCCACCAGCCACTCCTCGGAAGGAAGATGGGGCAATCTACTTCCGTAGTGATACTGCCTCGGAAACCCAAGGAGGGGTCGCTATGAGTCGGGTCCGACTCTACACCAAATAACAACAGATCATAAACCACTGTCATCAAAACGATTCGGACTCACAGCGACCCTAAAAGCCACAGGAGGTGCCCCACAGGGTTTCCAAGGCTGTAAATCTTTGCGGAAGTCAAACAGCCACCCAGTCAGAGGCAGACCCAAGAACTGTCCTCTGCCTTAGCTTCCTCCCGCGAGCGGCTGGTGGGCTCAAACCGCCGACCTCTTACTTCACAGTCCAATACTTTAACTCCAGTGCCGCCAAGAGCGCCCCCTAGATCAGAGGAGCCCTGTAGAATCACGGGAGCTCCACGGAGGTAAAAGGATCTCCAGTGATCACCCCACAGGAATTTTATAAGGTGCCCGGGCGGTTCACGAGATTAATGTTTGGAAGAATCATGGGGGTAGTACGAGGGTTCTGAGGTGATGAGAAAAATTCTGAGGAGTCTCAGGTGATCACGGAAGGTTTTAAGGGGGACATGAAGAATCTGGGAAACCCTAAAAGTCCAGAGACCAACGACGGAGCCCCATTTAGAGTCAAGGGTACCAGAGATACCCGGAATTCTAAGGTTTAAAGACCAAGACGCAGCAACCGCGCAGACTCATGGGAACTTTGTCCTGGGTGGGGTCTTAGTGGCGTCCAGAGGGGCGGAGCTGCTGAGCTGCCGCGGTGGCTCACGGGAGTCCGCGCGCAAAACGGGCCCGGGGGAACCGGAGTGGGCGGGTGGGCCGCTCCAGCCCGGGCAGGACCTCACCAGTGCGCATGCTTGGCTCTCGGGCACCGGTCCGTACTCCATCGTGGTAAAGATCTCTTGGATCCCTACGCGCGTCGTCGCAGCCATCATTCGCCCAGACCACTTTCCACAAAGGATTGCGGAGCACTGTGCCCAGAGGAACTTTGAGGTCTAAAGGGCAGCACCGCCCCTCCAACCAATGGGGCGGGACCGAGAAGGAGGCGGGTGATAGAGATTGTGAATCCATCCCATTTTCCCGCCCTAGGATCTGTGGGCCCCGCCTATTGGCCTTCTCTGGGACTGCACATTCGAGCATGCGTACTTCTCAAGGCTGAGGATGCTGGAAGTCGGAATTGTCGGTCACCTACAAATAGGACAGTCCAGATTTAGAAGAGTTGTCATATTGATATGTCTTCTTGCCATCCTGCTTATACTGTTGACAGGATGTGCAGCTTTTCCTCCGAAATACATTTAATAGAAAACCGAATCTAGCTCCAGGACGATGCCGCAGCCCCGAGTGCACAGAACCTGGTCGGAAGTAATTGTCAGGAAGAACAGGAAGTGTGGCATTTGGTTATCATTTCTATGAACTAGGCCGGAAGAGTACCCTCAGGTTTCGTTTTTCATTGGTCGAGGTGGGACGTGTGGCTTCAGATGTCAAACATGATTGGTCGGTAACGGTCCGTTTGTTGCCGCATTGAGAATGAGTTTTGGACGGTCGGAAGTGCGGCTTCCTCAAGTACCGTGGTTACACACACCGGAAGTGTCGCTTTCGCGTGTACATTTAGAGCCAGGAGTTCGTTCAGAGTGCGTTCCTAACGGTTTTAAGGACGATGTGTGGTCTGAAATAGAATTGTAGACCAGATTCTTAAGTTTTCGGCCAGAAACGTAGGTGTTGGGAGTTGGTTAGGGAGCAGGCAGTGGCGTTAGGTGTTCGGATCGCGGAGAAGGTTCCTCCAGTTGTCTTTTTTCAGGAACATGGCGGAGTCCAACCCGCTGGTACCCGAGTTAAGCGAATCAGAGACTGTGGGCCCTGAGACGGCGCGGTTCGAGGAGCTACTGCTACAGGTGCGGACTGACCAGACTCCTGGGTCCCTGACCATTCGGGAGTTGCTTGTGCCCAGAGAGGAGACTACAGTTACCAGAGCGCACTGAGGGAGTTGTAGTCGTTTGGCCCCAAGTTATGTTGCACCCTGGTGGCGCGGTGGTTAAGCGCTTGGCTGCTAACCAAAAGGAGAAAGATATGGCAAAAATACGTTGTTGCTATTAGGCACCATCAAGTCGATTCTGAGTCTTAGCGACCCTAGATGGCAACGAAAGGAAACACTGCCAGGCCCTGCGCCAGCCTCACAATCCTTGCCATACTTGAGCCCATCGTTGCAACCACTGTGTCAGTCCATCTCGTTGAGGGTCTTCCCCTTTTTCGCTGACCCTCCACTTTACCAAGCACGGTATCCTTCTTCAGGGACTGAACCTTTCTGAGAACATGACCAAAGTAGGTGAGACGAGGTCTAGCCATTCGTGGTCCTAAAGCACTCCGACTACACCTCTTCCAGAACAGATTTGTTCATTCTTCCGGCAATCCATGGTACTTTTAGTATTCTTTGCCAACACCATGAGTCAAAGGCATGAGTTCTTCAGTCTTATTTATTGTCCAGGTTTCACAAGCAGACAGTCTAGGGGGCAGTTCTTCTCTGTCCTATAGGGTTGCTATGAGTCCGATTCTATGGCAGCTTTTCCGTGTGGGGTTGTGGGGGACAGGCTCTGGCAGAAGTGGGAGTGGGGTCCACGTTAGGGTTCTTCTGGGTCCTCAGAGGCGAAAGGGCACCTAGTATGTCTTAGCCTCCGTGTTATCCACAGCTTTCATACCTCACAGTTGCTTGATAAACATCTGTGGGGGAAGTGAGGGCTCGGAGGGCACAGACTCCAAACCTGAAGGTTGCTTCCTTCACAGGCCTCCAAAGAGCTCCAGCGGGCCCAGACGCCCGGAGCAGAGTCAAGACAGATCCAGCCTCAGCCTGGTGAGAAAGACAAACCCAGAGAGAGACGGATAGAGACTCAGAAGGAGCAGGGGACACAGAGAGGAGGGAGGAGACGACAGTGACTGTGGGGTAGAAGAGGGAGGAAATAGACTGGTTTTTTTGGATGGTGGGTGAGGGAGTGATACAGACAGTGGTGGTGGGAGAGGCAAGGAAACAGACACACTGACGGCAGGAGGCAGGGAGGAGAGACTGGGGGGGAGGGGGGAGGAAAGATACTGACATGGGTGGGGGAGACGAGAGAGGAAAGCCGTGCGCTGAGGTTGGGGGGAAGGATCGATTTAAAGAGTAGAGTGGAGCACAGAGTCCGAAGATCCCAGGAGCTAGAAGGGAAACAGACCCAGAACAGAAGGATAGAGACGTGGGTGTGGTGGTAGGAGGGGAAACGAGACCCCAAAAGGGGAGACAGAGCAAAGAGGGAGAGGGGCCAACTGGGAAGGAGACAGACCCCTGCCAAGATGGTGGGCAGGACACAGCCACTCCCACCAGGTTTCTGCATAAAGACCAGCTCCTCCGATGGGAAGGTTTTCATCAACATCTGCCACTCGCCCTCCATCCCGCCCCCGGCTGACGTGACTGAGGACCAGCTGCTGCAGATGCTAGAGGACGACCAAGCTGGCTTCCGCATCCCCATGAGTCTGGGAGAGCCTCACGCGGAACTGGATGCAAGTCAGTGAGCTCCCCCCACCTGCCAAGTCTGGGCCCGGCCCCCTCCTCACTCAGACCCAGGAGTCCAGGCCCCGCCCCCTCCTAGCCCCTCCTCTCCCAGGAGCTAGAAGGGAAACAGACCCAGCCCCCAGCCCCCCTTCCCTCAGACCCAGGAATCCAGGCCCCCAGGTCTCTTCTCCCTCAGACCCAGGAGTGTGTCCCCTGCTCTGATCTTTCCCCCTTCGGCACTTCCTGGGCACCAAGCCCCTTACCAGGCCGGCACTGCCCCTGGCCCTCCAGGGTGGAGAAGGCCGGCAGGGACGGATGCTGCACCCTTAGCGGATGCCCCGGCTCTCATCCCGGCCGCCCTCCCTCCTTCATCTCTGACGTCTCCAGCACAGCCCTTGCCACCTCCGGCCCTGTTATGTTTCTGTCTCTTTGGTTTTTCAATTCACCCGTGTCTCCTGAAGCCTGCTGGGGAGTAAGAACTTAGCAGTCCCCTTTCCTGCCCGTGAGATACTCCTGGTCTTGGGTGGGGACGAAAGGGTCGCATAAAATTTCAGGATGGTGTGACACATGTTACACTGGGCACTGCCCACCGGGGACTCCACCTGCACGGAGGGGTCGGGAGGAGGTGCTGAGTGTAAGGTTTGGGGCGTACAGAGGAGTTAGTTGGGCAGAGACAGAGAAGAGGGGGACCCCTCTGCAAGCAGAGGGGACCGGGGCCCAGCGGCCAGAGAGGATTGGATTGTATCAGGCAGTCATCAGAGTGATTGGCAGAAATTTAAAGGGATGAGGTCAGTAGAGGAGAAACGGACTTCTCTGAGGTGTGCAAAGGAGCCCTGGTGGTGAACTGTTAAGGCATCTGGCTGCTAACCAAAAGGTCAGTAGTTCGAATCCCCCAGTCACGCCGCAGACGAAAAATGAGGCAGTCTGCTTCTGTAAAGATTTACAGCCTTGGAAACCCAAGTGGAGGTCACTAAGAGTCCAAATTGACTCAATGGCAGTGAGGGTTTTTTTTATTATTTATGTTTTTGGTTTTGAGGGGTGAGAGGGGCCAGGCCACACCCAGGGCCTTGGACCTTACCTGGGGGTGCTGGAGAGCGATGGGAGTGCTCTGAGCAGGACAGGAATGAAGTCAGCCCTGGGTAGGTGGTGGGGACAGACTGCATTGGGGAGACGGCCTGGAAGGAGCCTCCAGGCTCGAGAGGGAGGTCCTGTCTGGAGCCCTGGCTTCCTGTTAGGCTCTGCGTCTCTGGATGCGAAGGCTGCTGCTTCTGAATGTTTTTCTTGCTTGAGTCCGCTTCTCACCAGTGGTGCTTTGCTCTCTCTGCAGAAGGCCAAGGCTGTACGGCCTACGACGTAGCTGTCAACAGCGACTTCTACTGGCGGATGCAGGTTAGGCGCGGAGCTGTGGGGGGCGGAGCCTGTCCTGACGCCCTAGACATTCCCCGGCCCCAACCTCCCTTCTGTCCATCTCTCGCTCCTAGAACAGCGATTTCTTACGGGAGCTTGTGATCACCATCGCCAGGGAGGGCCTTGAGGACAAATACAGCCTGCAGCTGAATCCGGGTGAGGGCGGGGGGAAGGGGAGCCAGGAGCGCCTGGGGGACAGCCTTTGAGCGAGAGACAGAGGGTCTAGACCTCGGGGAATTTTCTGAACCCCGGCTTCTCGGAGGGGGCGGGGCTTCCCGAGGCACATTGGGCGCTGGGGGGTGGAGTCAGACCTGGGATTCAAATGGGGGCGGGGCCTGGGCAGCCAGGGATGGGCGGAGTCAGGAGCCTCACTAGGAAGTTGATTTGACTGGAGAGAACCCGACATGGGCGCGGCTAGGGTGGGCGGGGCTTGGGGCGTGGTCAGACTTCTGAAGGGGCAAAGGGAACCCTGACAGGCGACCTTTGACCCTGACTCTCCTAGAATGGCGCATGTTGAAGAATCGGTCTTTCCTGGGCTCTATTTCCCAGCAGAACATCCGCTCCCAGCAACGTCCTCGAATCCAGGACCTGGGGAAGCTGCCCTCGGCGGGCTACCGAGGAGCTGAGACAGGGTGGGTGAGCAGTAGGTGCTCTCGCGGCTGCGCAAGGCGCGTCAGACGTCCTCCCTTCCCACGCTGCATCCGGGAAACTGCCCGGGGCCCTCGGGGCTCTTGGGGCAGCAGGTGGGAAAGGGGAGAGGCAGGGACCAGCATGGCAGGCAGAGGGAGCAGCCCTGGTGGCCTTCCTCACTTCTGGGCCTTGCTCCTCCCAGCCCTGAGAAGCCGCGCCTGAACCTTTGGCTGGAAGCCCCTGACCTCCTCTTGGCGGAAATTGACCTCCCCAAGCTGGTGAGTGCACATGGGCAGAGTAGGAGAGTGGGGTCTGGGGATCGGGGTCTCCGAGGGGTAGTGCCGGGGCAGGGGGGCCGTCCTTACTGGGTCTTGATTATCTAAGAATTCATAGAGGTCCTACAGGACAGAGTCCCACAGGGTCTCCAAGGCACTTAGTTAAAGAAGCAAAGCCCAAAGCACACCCACTGCCGTGGAGTCCATTCCGCTCACAGCGCCCCTAGAGGACAGAGTGGAACGCCCCTTAGATTCCAAGAGGAATCTTTATGGAAGCCACTGCCTCATGTTTGCCCTGCAGAGCAGCTGGTGGGTTACAACCACCAGCCTTACTGGTTAGCAGCTGAGTTCTTGGTCATCTTGTACTGCTGTAGCAAATACCATGAGTGAGTGGCTTTAACAAACAGATTGATCTCCTCCCACTTTAGGAAGTAAGAAGTAGGAATTCAGGGTGCCGGCTCTGGGGGACGGCTCTCATGGCCCAGCAGCTTCGACTCCAAGGCTTCTCGCCCATCGGCACGTGGCCTGGCGTCTCTCTTCCCCCTTCTCTGCTCAGTCTGCTGTTTCTCTGTCTCAAAAGAGACTTAAAACCCACCCGACAGGAATACCACCTCTTTCCAAAAGGAATGATGACCACAGGCAGAGGGGGTCCCGTTTAGAGCAGCTAGCTTTAGGGTACAGCATTCGGAGCTGTGCTCTCAGCCCGCAGCCTCCTCTGGCCCTGGGGCTCCCGGACACAGTTCTTGGTGCGGAGCACCCCGTGAGGAGGCCGTGAGGCCGTGAGCGCTTAGTCCCTGAGACGCGCAGTCACTACCCCCATCTCTGTCCTGGCAGACTGCATAGCATCCGATAGTGGGGGCTGCCCTGCCCAGCCCACGCTGTCCCCCCCCCGGGTGCTGGGAGCAGGGCTGACCCCACCCCATCCCCAGGATGGAGCCGTGGGGCTGTCGCTGGAGCTCGGGGAGAACCGCCTGGTGATGGGGGGCCCCCAGCAGCTGTACTACCTGGATGTCTGCATCCCCCTGCAGATCAGCACTGATGAGAGCAGGGCCGCCTTCCACCGGAAGAGGAAGGTACGGGGGGCTGTCGAGAGAAGCAGGGGCATAAGGGGGTTGGGGCCTGGACTCTTGGGCCTGAGGGAGGAGGGGCCAGGGGGCTGCACTCCCAGGTCTGAGGGAGGAGGGGGCTAGGGGCTGATTCCTGGGTCTGAGGGGAGAGGGGGCTCGGGGCTAGACTCCCAGGTCTGGGGCCGATTCCTGGGTCTGAAGGAGGAGGACTGGAGGCCTGGAGTCCTCACCCCTGTCCTCTTTCCACAGCAATTGTTGGTGGCGATGCCCCTCTCGGCGGTGCCTTCGTGACCCGGACGTCATCCTATGCTTGCAAGAGCAGAGGAGGAGAGGCTGGTGGCTTCTCCAGAATGAGCCGAAATAAAAGATACTGGCCTTGTTCTGTCTCCGGCTAGAGATAGATAGGGTGGCAGGCGGGAGACACATTTGGCTGTGGCCCTAAAATGCCACAGTGGCCCCACTCCACCTCAGATGTGGTCCACTCCTGCCCAGACCCTCACCCCAGCCTCCATTCTCTCTCCTCCAGTTCGTCCCCCACGTAATCCCAGTGCTGCCCCTGTCAGGGCCCTTCTCTGGCTCCCCATTGCCCCCGGGAGATGGTCCAAGCTCCTCAGCCTGGCAGTGAAGGCCCAGAGTGGGCCAGGCACCCCCATCTTTTGCCTGGTTGTCCTCCTTGCGCTGAAGTACAGGTGTACCTAGGTTACCGGCCACGATGTGGTCTGTGAAAGGGCCTTGCTAAAAAGGCAAGGAGGCCACATGTTCTGACCTCTAACCCCACAGGAGGAAGACGGAGTCACTATCAGTAACCCAAGGCCTGTTCCTGCGAGGCCAGACGTGCTGCCTCCCTCCAGCCCTTTCATCAACCGTTCCTCCCAAAGCACCCACCACCTCTCTCCTGGGTTTGATAATTCACTGCAGTGGCCACACAGAACTCAGAGATTATGGGGTTTATTAGGGAAGCACCAGATTACAATTCAAGTTCAGGAAAAATGCTCCGTCTCTCTCAGCTCACCATCTCTCAGCCAACAATCTCTCTGTTTCTTTCTCAGAAGTGTGTGTCCCTTGGTGTCTCAGCAATGTGTGTCTCTTTCAACAGCATGTCTTCCTCAACCAGCAGTCAGAGAGACTTCTGCCTCTAGGAGGCCTCCTTTTGAGCCTGGCAGAGTGGCCAAACCAACCAATCATAACATCAGAATTCTAAGCACCTCAGAGAGAGTGAACTTCCCAGAACATGGCTTTGTGCCACTACCCACAGAAATACCCCAGGTGGATAACTTTTACAATCAGGAGCTCCTCAGTTGCTCACAGCCAATTCCACCATGGAGTTTACAAAGACTTAGGGCTAGAAAAGCCATACCAGGTAATTCACTACACCACAGGCCTTATGCTACTGGGCATGTGCAAACATATTATATGCAGGCAGGCCTTGTGCGAATCGTTGGAAAGCCTGTTAAAACTTGGGAGACTCTCCTCGTCCAGAGCAAAGAAGAATGAAGAAAACCAAAGATTCATGGAAACAATTAGTCCTAGCAACTGGTACACCATGTGATCCTCAGCCTATGTGACTATGAGACCAGAAGAACTAGATGGTGCCCAGCTACCACTGTCAACCACTCAGAGGGGGATCTATGTAGGAGATCCTGGATAGAGAGGGAGAATATGGAACAAAACTAAAAAAAAAGGGGGTAGGGGTGACCAGGTTTGCTGGTCTGATAGAGCTTGGTGGAATCACTCAGACTATGGCCCCTAGCTGCCCTTCAGGTCTGAAATTGAACCCATACCTATGGCTTCCAGCCAAGCAAAAGACAGGCATATGAGGTGAACAATTACTTGAGGTAGATAGACTCCTTGGAGAGAACAATTATGGGTGAAAGCGGCTGTTAATGCACCGGGAGACAGCTCAGGGGGCAAGAGTGCATGGAGGGATGGACACAGGGAAGAGGTGACTATGGAGAGGAAGTGAGAGGGGAGCTGTTGCATTGGAGTAGATTGCAGTCAATGTCACGAGACAAAGTGTATGTGAACTGCTGTATGGAAAGTAAATTTTCACCCAAATCACAATAAAAAAATTGAAAGGAAAAAAAAAAAACTTACAAGACTGTGGAACAAAATTCAAAAACACGAAAATGACCAGAAGTACTTGTGGACAGAGGCTGGCAGAACCCTGCACTATGGCCTGGGTTATCCTTTGGACCTGGAGTCACTTCCGTTCACTTCTGTGGATTAGCTCTCAGCCCAATAGTAGAAAAACCTAGAAGCAGAACACCCACCCCAAGGAGATCAACAAGCCGTGAGACATCAGAGGGGCAGCCTTCACATAGAGCCAAAGCTGGACCAACGAAGGCGTTGATAAGGGCATGGGCAGGGGCTGGTCACAGGGAGGAGAGCCCTTTATGGTAGGGGTTTGTAATCAGGCCATGAAATCAAATGTGCATGAACTGATGTCAGTAAAGCGAATCCGCTCTGTATATGTGCACCCAGAGCGCAATAAAAAATTAAAACTCCCTGAGCCCGCCAGGCGAGGGCTGTAACTTCCGGGTGCAGGAGGTCGCCCTCCCCAGGTGGGCAGGGAGCTGGTGCCAGGCGCCTGGGGTGGGAGCGGGGTTGGCGGTGCCGCTGCTGCCTTGTGAATGCTCCTGCTTGTGATCGTGCACAGCCGTCACCCAGAGCCGGGAGCCTGCGAGCGCCCCCACCCGGCCGACGCCGTCAGCGCAGGCGGAGGTGTCGTGGCAGGTCGCCCGAGGGGAGGGCTGCCTGGCGGCTGGGCCGGTGAATGGAGCCTGGAGCTGCGGGGCTCGGGCTGCACCCCGGAGCTTCGCTGTTGTTCACTCAGAGGACTTGGGGGCTTCAGAACCATTAGGGAAAACCAATAAAAAGAGAGTTGCTTTCCCTTGGGGAGAAAAAAAAAAAAAACCTTAGGGCACTATGGGCATACACGTGGTCTGACGTCACCCACACAGATGTTAAGCATGCATACCTGTATCTCTTTTGCCCTCTTAGTCTCCACCACCCGTCTGTCAGCTTGTCGCACTGTCGTGGTTTATGTGTTGCTCCGATGCCACAGGTATTTCAAATACCAGCAGAGTCACCCATGGTGGACAGGCTTCAGCAGAGCTTATAGACTAAGACCGAAAAAGGCCTGGCAGTCCATTTCCAAAAATTAGGCAGTGAAAACCCTCCAAACCACAACAGAATAGTGTACAATACAGTGATGGAAAGCGAACCCACCAGGTTGCTTGATGTTAGGGGCCATCGAGTCTGCTCCAACCCACAGCGACCCTGTGTACAACAGAACGGAACACTGCCCAGTCCGGCGCCAGCCTCACAATCCCTGCTATGCCCGAGCCCATGGTTGCCTGGAAAGCACTCACAATGCCCAACGGCTACCACACTGGGCTTCAGCGCACCAGCGGGTGTGTGGATGGCCCTCTGGGGCGTGAGGTTGCCAAGAGCCAGAGCTGAAGCCACTCCGTGGTAACTGACAACCATCAACTAGCCTCTTCCCAATTCCATCTACCCAGGAAACTTCTCATTGTTCCTTCTTCTGCGGAGTTCACCAGGCCATCTCTAGCCTCCCCCACCCCTCACCTGACAGGCTTCCTGTTCCTGTAATCCTGCTCAGCACCAAACTGTCTGCGGGGCCTCAAACCACCGGGCTCTTCCCGCCTCCTGACCTTTGCACTGCTGTTTCTTCCCCTCCCCCACTCACCATCCTTTTCTGGAGCTTTTCCTAGAAAGCGTGGCTGACTTCAAGCTTTTTCTGATCTTGGCTGTGTTGGAATTCTCCTCCATGGTCCCCTAATCCCAGTGTTGACCCCATTATAATGATGTCCCCAAGGTGTGAGGATGCTCGTAGTAAATGGGAAAAAAAAAAAAAAAGTTGCTATAGAGGTGATTTCAATCCATGGCGTATGTCAGAGAACTGTGCCCATAGGATTTTCGCAGCTATCACCTTTTGGAAACAGATTGCCAGGTCTGCCTTCTGAAGCGTCTCTGGGTAGGTTCTTACTGCTCACTTTTTGGTTAGCCCTAACCCGAGTGGAAGGAGTTCTGGTGGTGCAATGGTTAAGGCATTCGCCTGCTAACCAAAAGGTGGGTGGTTGGAACCCATGAGCTGCTCCAGGGAGAAAGGTGAGGCAGTCAGCCTCGGTAAAGACTGACAGCCTTGGAAACCTTGTGGGGCAGTTCCACCCGGTCCTCTAGGGGCGCTGTGAGTCGGAATGGACTCAGGGGAGTGGGTTGGGTTTAGTTTTAGAAACTGATTGTGCCACCCCCGGTCTTGGTATTTATTGAGTCTCTGAATGATTGCCAAGCCCCGTGACTCCTAGAAAGATAAACGAAGAGAATCTCATAGTTGAAGGAACAGTGAGGAGGCCAGTGTGGCTGGAACCAAGTGAAAGATGGGGAAGAAGTCAGAAAGGGGCCGGTGACTTCACGTAAGGTTTTGTGGTTCCTGGAATGACTAACTGAGGGTGGCCGCCAGAGGGCGGAATGCACCCTCTTGCCGCTTGTCCCAGAAAGCATGAACTACAACTCCCAGCGGCCTTCGGAGTAGGCGGCCCATCCGACGCACGCAGTGAGGTCCAGCGGCCGCTGGGAGTTGTAGTTCGCTTGGACCCTTCGTGGGCGGCAGAGGAACTCACAGATTTTGGAAAAAGTGCGGGTCTGGTCCCTTCCCGCCGTTCTTGTCTCCATGGTGACGGTTCCGCCGGAGGCCCAGGATTTGGCAGCAGCGCGGCCCCCTCCTCACTCCCTCCTCCTCACCATCTGCTCCATCTTCACACCTGTCCCGGAGCCACGGCCACCGCCTCCGCACCCAAGGCCAAGATGCTGCGGCCACAAGGTGGCGCGTGTGGACAGCCCCTCTTCCCTCAGAGCTAGGAGTCCGAGTTCCTAGCCTCCTCCTCCCTCAGACCCAGGAGTCGAGGACCCTTCTAAGCCCTTTCCTCCCTCAGGCCCAGGAGTCCGGGCCCCCAAACACCTCCTAACCTTATTCCCAAGGGATCCTGGCCCGGAGCCGCCTCTTCCCTGGGGATCTGAGTTTTTCTGAAACAGACTAAGTTTTGAGACTCGGGAAGTCCGGGCTGGAGGCAAGAAGCCCCCGCGGTCAGAGGCTACTTGGCCACCCTGTCAGCGGCGCCTGCCCGCCGCGCCGTCTGCTTCTCCCACCCGTTCTCGGGCTCGTGCCACATCATGAAAATTTAATCCCAGATGCATTTGCAGCCCGACTCGAGGAGGAGGTGGGGGAAAGAAGTCCTCTCCGGGAGCTTGACTCTGGACTGCGGGTGTGCGTGTGTGAGCGTCAAGGGGAGGGGCTGGTCTGGAGAAAGGGGCGGGGCAAGAGATCAAGCTCAGAGAGGGAGGGACAAGCAATCAGGAGCCCAGACTGAACCCAGGGGGCGGGGACTGAACCCAGGGGGCGGGGAAAGAACCCAGGGGGCGGGGACAGAACCCAGGGGGCGGGGACAGATAGCAGAGTGTGGAGCCGAGTTTAGGGGACCTGCCGAAGATCCCGGAGGAATTTGGAAACTGGAAGTGGCACCTGGGGGCGGGGGACGGGATATAAGTCAGAGGGGGAGGGAAAAGGAGGGTGGGGGATGAAACTCCAGGAGAAAGGAACTGGGAGGGAGCTGGAATTCAAAATGCGAAAGATGGCCAACCTTGGGGGGAGCGAAGCACGGGGAAGGGGTCCCAGGTGGGTTGAACTAGGGATTGGAATTCAGGGAGGTGATAACTCAGGAAGTAGGAACCGGAGGGGGGACGGTAGCGGGGAGCTGGAACTGTCGACCGTAGGAGAGATTGGACAGGGACACAGGAAAGGCAGTGAAAGATGCAGCAATGAGAGGACCAAATTGACAGCCTTGGAGACCCTGTGGGGCAGTTCTACTCTGTGCTCTAGGGGCGCTGTGAGTGGGCATGGACTCCACGGCAGTGGGTGTGGTTTTTTGGTTTTGGGGGCTGGGATGGTGGGGACCCACCCAAGGAAGGGACAGAATTGAGGGGCGATGCTACTCAGAGGTGCCAGTTCCGAGCAGCGGTGGGAGCGACAGGGTGGGGACAGGACCTGATGGGAGGGCTGCGAGGGGCGGAGCTAGAACGCAAGGGCGTGGTCTGGCGCGGG